GTACTGTGCAAAAGAGGCACTGAGTGGCAATCATGTTCGGTCTATAGTCTATTTTCAGCATGCATCTCTCATCCTAGGAGGATCCTCCCAACACCCTTTATTTGGTGTTCTTCTCTATCTGAGCTGCCTTTTCCCCCTAGCATATGTGGCTGGCCTCCAAGCTGTGGAATAAACCTCCTGGTACTTATCTCGGCTATTCTTGGGTGTTAGTCTCCTATTTTGTTACTTTATGTTCCCCAAATGAATGCGATCTTTCTATGTCTGTCCCTCTCGTTCTGACTCATTTCACTTAGCATGATACTTTCCATGTAGTACCACTTGTATGTAAATTTTATGACTTCATCTTTTCTAACAGCTACATAGTACTCCATTGTGTAGATGTACCGAAGTTTCTTTAACCAGTCATCTGTTCTTGAGGAGTGCCACATTCTTAACTGCAGTCTCCTTCCTGCCGGCGAATCTCGGTCTTCTTCAGTGAATACTGGTGACTAAGTGGCATTATTATGTGATCTCATATTGATGGAATATCAGCCCCATTACTAAGACCTACACTCATTAAGCCCGATAAATGCGTGCACAAGGAGCGGGCACCGAATCCCTCCATCAAACACACCTGCTTGTTGCTGCTTCTGCATCGCCCACTGAAGACCTCAGTGGCCTGGGCGAAGGGTTTTCCGTGTCATGTGGCCTCTTGGAAGGCAGTGTGTGTGTGTGTGTGTGTGTGTGTGTGTGTTTGATTAGTGGCAATGGGAAGCTGGCCTTGTTTGCTTTTGCATATGGAAACCCATCGTCCTCAGCAAGGGCTGTGTTGTCCGGAAAACCAGCCAATACAGAAGGTGTTCAGGACCATTCATTGTAGTGGGGAAGGTTGTTCCATTAGTGGTATTCCATGCCCAGTATGTATCTACCCCATGTCAAAGCAGTGGTGGCAATGTGAGTGCCCACCCGTGGCTATCCTAGAGGTGGGCTTCCGATGGCAAACCCGCTAAACCATTCTGAGTTTTCCCCTCTTCTCCTAACTCGGCTTGATAGTCTCCAGACCCATCCGTGTAGCTGCAAATTGCATAACCGTGTCTTTTCTTGTATCCAAACAGTATCCCATTGTGTATGTGCCCCACCATTTCTTGACCCACTCATCTTTTCTTGGATACTTGGGTAGTTTCCCTCTAGAAGTGTCCCCAGAAGCCTCATTTGTCACTGGAGGTCACAGTTTTTCCCTCCAGCTCCTGTACCTGAGCTTATTTTTTTTAAAGATGGGCTGCCAGAGAGGTGGTGAAGTGAGCACGCATGATCCATGACACAGGGGACGGGAGCAATAGTACAGCGGGGAGAGCATTTGCTTTGCACACGGCAGACCTGGGTTCGATCCCCAATATCCCATATGGTCCCCTGAGCACTGCCAGGAGTAATTTCTGAGTGCAGAGCTAGGAAGAACCCCTGAGCACCACCAGGTGTGATGCAAAAAGCCAAAAAATAAGAATAAGAACAAAAATTCATGGCACAGCGGAAACTTACCACAGCAGTGAGGAAAGCTTCTCCCAGAGGTTGTTGGGTAATAGATTGCTCAGGTCAAGAATGGGATTTCTTGGGGCTGGATCGATAGCACAGAGGGTAGGGTGTTTGCCTTGCATGCGGCCGACCCAAGTTCAATTCCCAGCATCCCATAGGGTCCCCCGAGCACTGCCAGGAGTAATTCCTGAGTGCAGAGCCAGGAGTAACCCTTGAGCATCACTGGGTGTGACCCTCCACCCAAAAAAAAAAAGAATGTGATCTCTTCCCAGCAAAGCACAGTGCTCTCGGAGAGCAGGACGAGGAGGGCAGTGCATCTTTTCCTCTTACTTAACCTCCTCGGCTGCCCTGGGATGCCCTAGGCTTGCTCCTGGGGAAAGAGAACTTGACATCCCTTCCAATGGCCTAGAACATGCATCCACCTGTTTTCTTTTATCTTTTGTGGAGCAACCCTGAAAGTCCCTCCTCCTCCAAGTCAGGCAGCACCTCTGTGTCCCCAGCTCCACCCCTGGATGGTGTCAGTGCAAAGGCAACCACAGGAATTCCACCCACGGACCATCCTAGGACCACACACGTCGGAGGAGGTGGAGATGCCTCAGCCCGGGGAAGGAGGCAGGAAGCTGCCATGCTCTCGTTGGGCAAATGGGATCCCACACAAGGCCCCTTTGTGCTCCGGGAGGCTGGGTGGTCCACAGAACCAGGATGGGTGGTGAGAGCTGGGGGCCGGGCGGGGGGCGGGGCGGGGTGTGGAAAGTTAGGGCTTGGGCTGTGAAGGAAAAGGGGGGTGGTGGTGTTTTCCCCTGGAATACTCATTCATCTCCTCTGCCCCAAATAGCCTCGTAATTACCTGGCTAATTGGGAATAATCACCCCACTCGGAGTGGGGCTGGTGTGAGAACTCATGGGCAACGGAGAGCTCTTAGGAATGGTCATTCTGGCACATTTCCGCCACTTTTCTCCTATCTCATCTCTTTCCACTCATACCAGACCCACGCACTCGGTGACCACGTCTTGATGCGTCACCAGACAGAAAACAGTGTCCCAGGAAGTATCGTGATCTTCGATGGCCACGAAACCTCTTCAGATTGCGTTAACGAGTCTTAGAGCCGAGTATTCCATTGTGTATATGCCTCACCATGCCTTTACCCTTTCATCTCTGCTTGGACAGTTGGGCATTTTCACTCTAAGGAGAAGCCCTAGGGGTTGTAGTTTGGATCCCATGCAACCGGAGGTCGTAATCATCTTTCCTTACAACTCCTGCATCTGGCTTTATTAAAGAAGGGGTTGAATGAACTGGGTGGGGTTGGAGAAGTAGTACAAAGGGTAAGACGTGTGCCTGGCTAATAGCCGATGAATGAATATCTGGCATCACATAGTCCCTCGGGTGGGGGGAACTGCATCATCATCAGGTCAAGCCGTGAAAAATGTGTGAATATACAAGGAACACACACACACACACACGTGTTGTTTTGGGAGGGGGGGCAGCGGGGGACACGCATCTGGCTGTGCTCGGAGCTTACTCCTGGTTCTATGCTCAGGGATCGCTCTTGGCAGTTTTCAAGGGCCCGTGTGGGTCTGGGATGAAACTATGTTGGCCGAGTACAAAGCAAGTGCCTTTCTCTCTCTGCTTTTACATGCGTGTATTTGAGCTCATCTTCAATATTTTAGTAAAACAAAACATTTTATCTACTACAAGTTCCTCAGGGCCACCTTGAAGCTTTCCTAGAAAAATCAGAAGAGAGAATCGCCTGAGCTCTCATGTATCCCTTTCTAGATGGGCCCAAGATCGGTTGTTGAGGCAGTTCCCACCATCTCTGCCAGTTGCAGAGACCCAAACTGCCTCACCTTGCTGCATAGTTCCCATGGCTCTTAACATTTGCTTTCCCCATCCCTGGAGTCCATCCCTGCTTCACTGTATTTGCGGCGCCCTGGGTCACCGGGACACGACATAGTGACGCTTCACAGCCATGATTTGCTGGACTGGGGCATTCTGTGTAGGATAAGTCTGGCTACTATTTTGTTAAGGTTTTGATCAAGGCATCATGATTTACAAAGGTATTCGTAGGGGAGATCCAACACCAATTCTGTCACCAGTGTCAACCTCTCTCCACCAAAGTTGTGACTTTCCCTTGCACCCTACCCCCAACCCACATCCTTGGCAGACACACGTATTTATTTATTTATTTATTTTTATTTTTTTCAGTTGAGTCAACATGAGAGACAGTTACAAAGCTGTTCGTGAACAGGTTTCAGTCATATCATGATCCAACACCCATCCCTCCACCAGTGTCCATTTCCTACTACTAGGGTCTTGAGTGACAATCCATTGCACTGGTAGGGCATTTGCCTTGCACATGGTCAACCCGGGTTCAATCCCCAGCATCCCATATGGTCCCCCAAGCACTGCCAGGTGTGATTCCTGAGTGCAGAGCCAGGAGCAATCCCTGAGCTGGGTGTGACTCTATGGCACTCACTTTCCTTCTCTCTCCCTCTCCCTCCCTCTCTCCCTCCCTCTCCCTCTCTCTCCCTATCCTTCTCTCTCACTCTGTCTCTCTGTCTTTGTCTCTGTGTCTGTCTCTGTTTCTCTGTCTCTGTTTTTCTCTGTCTGTCTCTCTGTCTCTCTGCCTCTGCCTTTCTCTCTCTCTCTCTCTCTCTCTCTCTCTCTCTCTCTCTCTCTCTCTCTCTCTCTCTCTCTCTCTCTCTCTCCCCTCACTTTGGGCACTATGGTCTGAAACCCAGATACTGAGAGGTTATCATGTTTGTTCCTTTACCTACTCAGCACAGACCACTTATCCAGATTCATCATTTCCAACTATCTTTGTCATCATGGTCCCTTCCCTACCCCAACTTGTCAGATGCACTTCTAAGTGTGGTGGTGGTTGTTTGGATATCCTGCATTCAGTGTCGTGGGTGCAGATATGTGGATAAACCACAGCTCTATACTGCCAGTTCATCCGAGGCCCCTGCCCCCTGCCACTCTTGCCTCCTGTCTGCCTCTTCTTTGCTTTATTGTTGTTGGGATTGGGTACACCTGATGGTGCTCAGGCATCACTCCTGGTGGGACCATTTGGGGTGCTGGGGTGCTTGGTCAACCGTGTATAAGGCACGTGCCTTTTCTGCTATCCCATCTCTCTGGCTGCTCCTGGATGTCTCTTCTTACTTCCTCTTGCTGGCATCTCCCCTTCCCTCTCCTTACGTACTGATAATCCTGCCCAAGAAATTCCACAGAATCCCAGCCAGCGTCTGTGAACCAATGCTTCTCCTTCTGCATTTGCCACCTCTGCGTGAAGGCAGAGGAGGTCTAGTTATGTCTGAGTGATGGCGCCCAGAATACTGCCTGCCCCTCCAGAGCTGCCTCTTCGTCCGTGTCCCCACATGGCTGCCAGAGCCGTCCCTTCTATTCCCAGCGCCGCTCCAGGGTGCAGTGTGCAAGGTGTCCGGGGCTGTCGTTTCACCACTGCTCATGGCTGTTTCTCCTTCTTCTCTCCCCAGGCCCTCCGAACCACCACAGCCAGTCGACTCTGAGGCCACCGCTGCCACCCCCTCACAACCACACCCTGTCCCACCACCACTCATCTGTCAACTCGCTCAATAGGAACTCACTGACCAACCGTCGGAGCCAGATCCACGCCCCAGCGCCCGCCCCCAATGACCTGGCCACCACGCCCGAGTCCGTCCAGCTCCAGGACAGTTGGGTGCTGAACAGCAACGTACCCCTGGAGACCCGGTGAGTCCCCGTTATCATTGTTGTCATTGATGTCATCGTCAACTCATGCCGTCTGCATTACCGGCCCAGGTCACCCACTCAGTAAGGGGAGAAGTCCTGGCCAAAGGACAGCAGAGGCTGGTTCCCTGGGCAATTTGACCCTCTGACAGGGCTGTTTTTCAGCCTTCTTGCGGTTTTCACTCTTGTGCACCCACCTAACAAAATTCCCATCACCTCATTTCACTCAGAGGCTCATAGGAAACGTGTTCCTAAGGGAATATTGACCCCCCAGCTGCGGGTGAATGATGTGTTGGGGGCTTTCTTGAAGCAATATGTGGAGCCTTGTTGAACATTAAGTGTCTGGGGAAACCTGGAGATCCGATCCCTGATTCCAGACCAACAGAAGTCTGATTCAGTTTCCACTTCATCTGCATGCAGTTTCGCCTTAAACCCTCCCACATACACACACTTCAAGCCTGAGGTGCAAATGATAATGTATGAGAACAAACAAGAGGAAAAGGAGAGGGGGGCAGCATTGTATGTCGGGAAGGGTTTCAAAATCCTCTCCAGGCCTGGGGCGGCTTGGTTTAGAACCTCGTGTGTCTCCTTGGTTCATCTTTGATTCTGGTTTTCACTGGTGGCTGCAGTAAAGTCAATCCTAGGTCAATGAGATATCAAAGCAGCCTTGCAGTTCCATCCTTAGATGTCAAAGCAAACTTGCAGTTCCATTCTTAGATGTCAGGGCAGCCTTGCAGTTCCATCCTTAGATGTCAGGGCAGCCTTGCAGTTCCATCCATTCAGAGTAGCCTTGCAGTTCCACCCTTAGAGAGTTTCATCATGTGTGCTTTTGCTTCTCTTTTCCTTGTCTAGAGAAGTCATGTAATAGAGAAAGGGGCCGATTCCCATCAACCCTTCCAAAAAGTCCTCCTAGAGTTGTGAAGCTTGCATGACTGAGCTGAAGCTAAGACAGAACTCATCTGTGATGCTTCTCAGAATGTCCAGTGGAGTTTTTGCACCCTTGCAAGCCCCGATGTCTGCTGGAGCTTCTAAGCACTAATAATTTTTGTTGTCTTTGTAACTCTTGAATGTTCACATGGTCCCCAGCCCCTTTACTCCTCAACCATGATCCTGGCAAGCTGTAAACTTTACTTTCTGGGGGCCAGAATGCTAGTACAGTGGGTAGAGTATTTGCCTTGCACACGCCCTTCCCTGATTTTATCCCTGGCATCCCATATGGTCCCCAGAGCACCACCAGCAGTAATTCCTAAGTATAGAGCCAGGAGTAACCCCTGAACCTCTCCAGGTGTTACCCTCAAATTTTTTAAAAATGTCTTTTCTGACCCTTATAAGTTATGACTAACCATGCCTGCCATCTGGATCTCTGAGGCTTAAAATATCTATTTTTATTTCATATCACATGCCACTGTGATAAGAAATAAACACATTTTAAAAGGTATTTATTATCTATTATAGCACTGCAAGAGGAGTCCACTCCTAGACAGTTTTGCTGGGAGATTTGAGGGCTTCCAGCTGATTGGTCCATGAGACTGAGGTCAGGATGCTCTCCTGGGTGCTGGTCGTCTTTCATTTGGACAGATGCCCTATCCTTCTTCTCCCTGTCTTGATGAGTGGCTACCAAGCTGAGTATACACCAGTGATCTTCCTCCTCTGTGAACAGGCTGTTATTCGGAGCCTCCTTTCTGGATGGCAAGACTACAATGGAGTCACCTACTCAGAGAAAAGGGAAGAGGGAGATTTAGTCACTTTCGGAGGAAAAGTGGAAAAGGAGGGAGGAAGTTGATTATCATCATCATCAACCATCAACAACCAGGGTCCTTCTTTTGCCACTGGTTTGCACCATCTAACTCCAACTGAGAGAAACCCAACAGGAAAGGAAATAGCCACATTCACCCCTTTGTACTTATGTAGAGCCTAGAGGTGGTGAAACAAGGTAACCCGCAAGAGGTCCAGAGAGTCAAAGAGATGGTGCCTTCTCAGCCCCTTTCAGATGCCTTTAGGTGGTCCCTCCCCACAAAAGAAGGTGCCTGAGAGTGACTAGCCACCACCTGGCATTGATTGCCCCAGTGGTCTCGTTGGTGGGGCGAGAGCCAGTGGAACATCTGCTTCACGCAGAGGATCCCCTAGTGTCAAGGTATATGCCAAGTCCACGTGTCTCAGGGCCAAGCTCCTGATGCAACTAGTTGGCATTCTATAAGATTTGTGTTGTGGAGGCCGGAGCTATAATCCAGCCAAGAGGGTTTTTGCCTTGCACATGGCGGACCCAGGTTTGATCCCCGGTGTCCCAAATGGTCCCTTGAGCACCACTAGGAGTAATTCCTGAGTGCAGAGCCAAGGAGTAAGCCCTGAGAATCACTGGGTGTGACCCAAAAACCAAAAACAACAAAAAAAACCAACATAGTGTGGTAGCCATTTGTAATGGTACTCCCTTTGACCAAGATCAGACTGGTTGAGAGAAGCAGCAAGGTTACATGTACCCCCTTCCTGTTCTCAGGGAGCTTTCTCAGCACTGACTCTCTGATCTTCGAGCACTTTCGTAGACAGTTTGGTACTTGGCATATCACTTGAGCGTCTCCACTTCTCAGTTCCGATGTCTTATGGTGAAGGACGCAGCTTGACGACTAGATGGGATTTTGCCAAGGCCTCGAAGGGGATCAGGACAGTTTCCAGATGTTCTTTGGTTGTACATTCAAGGGCCAAGAATTAGGGAATTGGTGGCCTTGGGGATGGGTCTCTTCCCAAAGGCCAAATAAGGATATTTAAACTCTATCATGGCACTGAACACAGCTAACATAATAGCCCTCCAAGTGGCCTCACTGATGAAAACTTAAGTAGTAATGATTCAGAGTCGTTAAACCTTAAGTTCTTTTAAATATCATTTGATTCATCCCTTTTTAGTTTTGTTGGGTTTTCTTGTGGGTGGACACCCCCAGTGGTACTCAGGGATTACTCCTAGCTGTGCACTCAGGGATCTCTCCTGGTGGGATTCATGAGGACTTTATGGGGTTCTGGGGATTGAACTCAGGTCAGCTGCATGCCAGGCAAATGCCCGAGCCGCTATACAGATCACTCCAGCCCTCTCAATCTGTGTCTTATTTGCAGACTTTGACCGAATCTCTCACTAAGCACTGTGGTGATGGTGATTAAAGCAATTATCCCACCCTCAAATCTCACACAATCTGAAGGTGGGGCCAGCAGCAGCAGGCAGTGGAGAGCTCAATCGACTCCAAAATGGAGCTGTAAAGGCTGAAAGACTTCTCCGGAGCTAAAGGGAGAGTATTGACAGAGGCGAGGGTCGGTTGGCGCTGGATTTTGGAGGAAAAATGAGAATGAACCTAGAGAGTGAGCGGGGGATGGGGAGGGGAGTCAAAGAGGACAGCTTATGCTTTCTCATATCCCCCAGTTTCTCTTAAAGTCTTCAAAACTGGAGAGCCAAGCCATCCATGGGTGGCGGTGCTAACGGATTCTGAGTTTCCTCGTGTCATTTCTTATCCAGAAAAGAAAACTTTGGGCCAGGGATATGTGAAGGGGATAGCGTTTGCGCTTATGATATCTGGGTGTGATCTTAGAGAGGGGGGTGGAGAGAGAAGGGGGAGGGGAGGTGTTAGAGAAATGGATTTTAGCTGGATGAGATCCTACTTGCCTTTTGGGTGGCCTGGGGTCCACTTGCAATGGTAGGTGCAGAGGCTCACCCAGACTGACAAAGTGGGGTGTTCGGAAAGTCAGCACCCTTCTGTCTACTGTCTGGCCAGAACCTTTATCTAGTTCTGCTGGCTATAGAACCCTCCTCTCCCTCAGATCTTACACACACACACACACACACACACACACACACACTCACACTCACCTTGCACTCCCCAAACCCTACCTCCAGCGGCCAATCAGAAGCCTCAAACAGTTTCATGATTGCAGACGGGCGACCCTAAGAGGCCTGTCCCCCAGAGACACCCATCGAAAGTCCTTATTGCCCCCAGAGGTCCCCAGAAAGTCCCCTTAGGGTCAGCTTCTCAGGAAGGACCTCTTAGTATCCAGGGAATTGCCCTCTGATGAGGAAAGGGTTTAACTGAGAAGCAGGTACTTGGTGGAGAGGCCTGGCACAGGGTTAGGATGAAGCACCCCCCGCACACATCCCTTCCTGGGGTACCCTCTTTGGGGTTCTCATCATGCTTACTGCCTTTCTCAGAAGCTAGTGCTGTGGGGGTTTATGGAGATGATTGATGGACCCATTGGTCATCAATGGGCAATTGAACACAGCCCTGTCCCCTGGCATCTAGGAGGTGTGCTTGTGACTGGAAAGGCCAGCCTCTGCGGGCAAGGTGAGCGCCCCTGACACACACCCCTCAGTGTCAAAGGCTTTCCAGAAAAGTCACCTCCATCATCAGAGAATCCATGTCATTTGCAACACTTCGGGACCTCCAAGATTTCCTTGGAAGGGGTAACCATGGGGCAGGAGCCGTGGACCAAAGCACACATGCAGATATCCATCAGAGTAACCCAGCCATCATCCTTCCTTCCTTCCTTCCTTCCTTCCTTCCTTCCTTCCTTCCTTTCTTCCTTCCTTCCTATCTTTCATTTTTTCCCCAGGGGTTACTCCTGCCTTTATTATTATTATTATTATTATTATTATTTTAACTTTTTTTAGTGACTCACCGTGAGGTACAGTTACAGATTCACAAACTTCCGTGATTACATTTCAGTCATACAATGATCGAGTACCCATCCCTCCACCAGCGCCCATTCTCCATCTCCAATGATTTCAGTGTCCCTCCCACCCCTGCCTCTGTGGCAGACTCATTCCCTCTTACTCTCTCTCTCTCTCCTTTTGGGTGTTATGGTTCGCAATACGGGTACTAAGTGGCCATCATGTTCAGTCCATAGGCTACTTTCAGCATGCATCTCCCATCCTGAGTGAACCCTCCAAGCATCATTTACTTGGTGGTCCCTTCTCTGTCTCAGCTGCCTTTTCCCCCAGCATGTGAGGACACCAGCCATCATTCTTTGAG